GACTACAGTTGTGCATCACCATACCCATTTTGTTTTTTTCCCCCACTTTTTTTTTTTATAGAGTTCTCACTGTGTTGCTGAGTCATGTCTTAAACTCCTGGCCTCAGGGATCCTCCTGCCTTGGCCTCCTTAAGTGCTGGCAGTATAGGTGTGAGCTGCTGCTCCCGGCCCTTCTGTCAGTTTCATGTTTCTCCCATATTCTGAAGAACTCTCATCTGGGCTTGTGGCTCTTTATACTGGTAGCTCCTGCATCATCTTAGATCTCACTCCACTCCCACTTACCCGGTCTCCTCTGGTCTTTTTGCCTGTACCTTTTATTATTTAGACACATGTTGAGCCTTGTGGGTAAGGTAATCCTATTAATCCAGTTTTAGTTGACTGTCTGAGCTAACAATGTTTCCTTATGTGAACCTGGTAATTAGGAATACTTTGATGCCTTTTAATGACAAAGTCTATTAACAGAGAGACTAAAAATTAATGGCTGCTGGCAGTGGGCTACTAACCCTTTCAGCTTCATAGTGCAAAACCCAGTTTCTAAACAATTATATTTGACTCCTTTGCCAACCTTGATTGTATAGTAATTCTTCACCAAGATTATATATCTTGATCATCTCCAGAGTGCTCTATAGGCTTTTATATTCTCTACAGGTAATCACATGCCTAACATGGTCTTAGAAGGGTTAAAGGCTTCTTTTTTCATGTTACAAGACACCAGGAATGCTGTGGATGTGGTAGTTAGAAATAGTGTGATGGCCACATACACCACATACTATGCCTGCATTTCCCTCAGGAAGTAGAGACCAAAATAGAACTCCGTCCTTGATGAGAAAAACTTCTTTGGGGAAAGGGGGAATATAAATACTATAGGATGCTAAATATGTCTTTTCTTGCTGTTGACCAGAGCATAAATGAGGGCGATGAGAGCTTCTGTTATTAGCAGTTTATATTGCTAAGAAAGGGCTTCTGGTTATCTTGGGGAAACAGTAAAGATTAGTGAATATTCTAACATTTTTGCATTTTTATTGAATATTTTACTTATATTTGTTGCTATTGAACACTGAAAATAGTTTATAATCTCTCATTCTTAGTGGTGAACATAACTGGACATTTGAGCACAATCCTGGATCAGTTATATTCTCTGAACCCTTTTACTATTACCCATATTTGAAGACAAGATCCGAGCACTATCTCCTAGCTTCCTAGAAATTTTCGTATTTCTTTGCCAGCATTTAAAAAATTCTAGACAGATCCAGGATTTTATGCCCAAATCATTGGTTTGATTTTCAAAACAAAAAGCCTTAAGGAAATTCTGATTTTGAAAATAATTTTTTCTGAACATTTTTATGGTCAAGGAACCATTTGAAACCCTTTGCCTGTCAATGATACAATCATTTATTATTTTATGTTTTAAGTTTGTCTTTTTGATTCAGAGAATGTACCTCTTCTCGTGTATTTATTCAGGACCAACTTTGACTGGCTTGTGGCTGGGACACCATAAGTTCAATTCTTATCACTTACCTTTGTTTGTCCTTCCCACCAAAGGTCTTCAAAAAATTAATAGCAGTGATGGTCATTAACAATAACAGTATACATTTATTTACTTAGCATTTACATACACTAGACCTTGGGTGGTATAAAGATGCATAAGGAATGTGTTCATGCAGTTTGCTACACTGCATAAGAAAAGGGGGAAATGTCTGTGTACAGAACTGCATAACTCTAGGTTCTAAATTGGAACATTAGTATTGGAATATGAAAAACTAATTATAAAATCTGTTCTATTTCATGATTGATGTCTTTATAAGAAACCTTCCATGTTATTCTTTCAAGTCCCCCAATATACAAATTCAATGAAAATGTACCATAGGATTCCATTTAAGAACTGGAGATTTTTGAAGTATTTTTTTTTTGTTTTATTAAAAGTTCTGTTGAGGTATGATTTACATATAATATTGTGCATATTTGAAGTGCACAGTTTGATAATTTTTTATATTTACAAATAACTGTGAAACCATCATCAGTATCAAGATAATGAATGCATCTATAATCCTCAAAAGATCCTCAGACCCCTTTGTCATCTCTCCCTCCTGCCCCTTTTTACCCTCCTCTCTCACCCCCAGGGTTCTGCTTCTGGTCATTATATATAGCTAATATTTTCTAGAGTTTTATCTAAATGGAAAAACACAGTATGTGCTCTTTTTGTCTGGCTTCTTTCACATTGCTTAAGTGTTTTGAGATCACTCATGTTATTATGTACATTGATAGTTTTTTCGTTTTTACTGCTAAGAAGCATCAGAAAGTACTTTATAAAAACTTACTTATGCCCACAAACATATTTGACCTCAATATTTTTATTTAAAAAATCTTTTTAAACACTGTTTTTGCTCTCTAAATCTGTAATCTTTAAGAAATGATGTCTTTTTATCTGAAATTAAGCTGTACCTGTAGTTTGATTTATTGTTTTGTTGTTACTAAAATTTTAGTATTAAACGCAACCTTAATTTTAAATTTTAATGGCACTTATCTCCCAATTTCTGATTATATATTACTTATTCAGTCTTTGTATTACCTGCCAGTTTCTTGCATCACCCTAAAGTACACAGCAGATCCTCTGCTCTCTAACTTTCAGACTTGGGGAACTTAGCTAGCATCATCAGGAAATGACTTCCCATGTAACCTGTTTGGATGTAAGGAAGCCTTTGGGAAGAACCTAGCAAACAAAAAGGCCCTTCTCATCCTGTTATTCAGTAGTTTGGTGACTGTTTTTATAATCATTATATACTTCTCTGCCTAACATATCAGCTGTCTTAGAAACTGCCTTCTTCAAATTTGGCCAGCTTACTCAAGTACCCTGCTAGAGTCAATACTAAAAAGCAAGTTACTGACAATATATGTACCAGTAAGTGACCATCATCTTCAAATTTAAACCATTTAGCAAACTCTCATTTTAGTTGCTCTTTTAGCCCTAATTTTACAGCTCCACTGTGATACCTGGCTTCCTGGCCTACTGGGTTAAGGATATAAATTAGCCTTCCTCTTTTGGCTTGCCTGTTGTATTTTGACTTTGCTTATTCCCTGATTTGGTATCCTTCACTACCTTAAGTGAGAAACTACATCTGTAGTTTTAATTTTGTATAGCCAAACCAGACTCTGTCTCTTCTACCTTTCATTGCCCTAACTAGGAGAGAGGAGGATCAAGGATATATCCCACATCTGTTGCTGGGCTTTATGGGAGTTTTCTGGATTACAGCAAACCACTTAGCAGAAGTGAAAAATGGAATATCCTCCCTCTTTAGCTTTCCCATCACAAGATTTTCTGTGTCCAATTTCTGTCACGTGGCTATCTAATTACTAGCAATCTTGAGTGACTATGCTATCTCTCGGCTTTCAGGCACTATCCATGTTGTTATCCTTTTTTCTTTTTCCAGAACAACTCTTTTGGACAAATTGCTCCCCGACGCCCTGCCAAAACATCTGCATATAAGTCTTTTTCTTTCTACACAGAGAAATGAAATGATATCTGGTAGCTTTTGTGAATCCATTTCATCTAGGCCAATCATGTGACCAATTTTTAGAAATTGGTTTCCGCTTGTCTTCAAATGATGATGTGGCCTCTAAAATTATAGATCACCCAGTCAGGGACTTGGTAGACCTGCCTTTTGTATTGATGATACTTGGTCTTAACTCTTCAGAGCACTCATCTGATTCTTTCCACTGTGTCCTACCTCCTGGTATTCTAGTTGCTTAGTCATTTAACTTTTGGGTTCTAATATAATGTTGTAGTTAATGCTGAAATGCCAGTTACGTACCTTTATTTTTTGTTTTTCTGAAGCTCTTGGCAAGTGTTTACATTTCATCTCTCCTTTCTCTTAGCAAGAACCATATTACTCTCAACGAGCATATTTCTGCTGGATTTTTGAGTAGAATTGATCAGAACTGACAATATTATCCACATAATTAGATCCTAATATTGGGTTTCTAGCTCTTCCAAAAATAGCTGAAGTAATTTTACAAACCAAAGGTGGTCTTATCTTACTCCTCTGTGGGTCCTAGAAAGTTTACATGCTTCCTCATGTTTTCTAGCAGAGATTTTTAAAAGAGATCACTTTAAAATCATAACATTCCCTATCAAAATGGCAAAAGGGGCCGGGCGCAGTGGCTCATGCCTGTAATCCCAGCACTTTGGGGGGCTGTGGTGGGTGAATCACGAGGTCAAAAGATTGAAACCATCCTGGCCAACTTGGTGAACCCCATCTCTACTAAAAATACAAAAATTAGCTAGGCTTGGTGGTACGTGCCTGTGGTCCCAGCTACTGGGGAGGCTGAGGCAATAGAATCACTTGAACCTGGGAGGCGGAGGTTGCAGTGAGCTGAGATGGCACCACTGCACTCCAGCCTGGTGACAGAGCGAGACTCCGTCTCAAAAAAAAAATGGCAAAAGGGTAAATTCTCTAAAGGTTTTATTTTCTCTGCTTTTTAAAGACTTAAGTGTTCTTATTCCCCATCGAAATTTTAAATTCAATCTAACCCTTTATGCTGCTTATATTTTCTGTACTGTAAAATCTCCTCATCCTGAATTATGCTTCTTGGTCTTTATGATTGACATAGAGTGAGTTTCTTACGAGATAGGAGATTTTGAAGGGGTTTTAAATGAATAAAGACAATCTTTGTAATGAATGTGAACTGGATGAGATTTTATTTCAAGATACTATGGAGAAAATATGTTGCAGGCATAACAGCATATCAAAAGCAGTGGTTTGTGCTAGGGCTGGAGTCTTATGAGTGGCTATTATACAACATTTACTAGCAGTAGGTGATTTTTTTGATCTTAGGTTCTTAGAATGTCCCCCTTTTTTTTTTTCCAAAGCTAACTCTTTGGATAATAACATTGACATTATTAACAACATGATAGCCCTAATATTGCCTAGGCTTTAGTTACCATGACCTGATTTCTTACCTGACAGATATGTTATTTATTTTTCATTTTTTTTCTATTTTAGATCCATTTTTCCTATCCATCCGTCCTTCAGGATCATTGCCTTGGCAGAACCCCCCGTTATTGGAAGCACAATACACCACTGGCTGGGACCAGAATTCTTAACCATGTTCTTTTTCCATTATGTGAAACCACTTGTCAAAAGTGAAGAAATCCAAGTGATTAAGGAAATGGTAAGAAGAAAGCCGATCTTAGCCTATTTTCTACAGCTGTTCTCTTTTTAAGGCACTCTGATACCTGCTGAAGTAGAGTTAGACATTTTTAGCTTTTTCTTCCCACTTACTACCAAATTTTCTCATATAGTGGTGAAAGTCAGTGGTTCTTCAGCTTCCACATTTTTCAGCATCATCTGGAGGACTTGGTAAAACTCAAGTTTCTGGGCTGTATCTCCATAGTTTTCAAGCTAGTAGATCTGGGGTGGCATATTAAAATTTGTATTTCTAACAAGTTCTCAGGTGATACTGATGCTGCTGGTCTGGGACCCTGACATTCTAAGGATCAAAGATGTGGCCTGTCTCTCCTCTTTCCTCAGATGGAGGCCATTTTGGAATTCCTTTTCTCAAATTCCTTAAATTTGTTTAGTTAAAGGTGACTATTTTAATTTCCTACTATAAAGGGAGGCCCAATGCATAAATACTAAGTAGTCCTGGTCCCTCAAGAATGTAATGTATCCTGTAGTTTCCTGATTAGTCTTTTGATGGCTTCCAGTGTATGTGATCCATTATTTCAATGTGTGCCTTAAGCATTGAGGTTAGTGCTTTTGGAGTTTTAAAACTGCATTCTTCAATGTAGTAGCACTAGCCATGTTAAATAATAATAATAATAATTATTATTATTATTATTATTTTGAGACAGAGTCTTGCTCATGTTGCCCAGGCTGGAGAGGTGTGATCTCAGCTCACTGTAGCCTCTGCCTCCTGAGTTCAAATGATTCTCCTGCCTCAGCCTCCTGAGTAGCTGGGACTCCAGGTGCACGCCACCATGCCTGGCTAATTTTTGTATTTTTAGTAGAGACAACAGGGTTTCACCATGTTGGCCAGGCTGGTCTCAAATTCCTGACCTCAATTGATCTGCCCGCCTTGGCCTCCCAAAGTGCTGGGATTACAGACATGAGCCACCGCGCCCGGCCACATTAAATTAATTTTTTAAAAAATTCTGCCCGGGGTGGTGGCTCACACCTGTAATCCCAGCACTTTGGGAGACTGAGGCAAGCAGATCACCTGAGGTCAGGAGTTTGAGACCAGCCTGGCCAACATGTGAAACCCCATCTCTACTAAAAATACAAAAAATTTGCTGGGCATGGTGTTGCGCATGTGTAATCCCAGCTACTCAGGAGACTGAGGCAGAAGAATTGCTTGAACCCAGGAAGCAGAGGTTGCAGTGAGCCGAGATCGCACCACTGGACTCCAGCCTGGGCAACAGAAAGAGACTCTGTCTCAAAAAAAAAAAAAATTCAGTTTCTCAGTCACTTTTCATGTACTTAGTATCCACATGGGAGCTTTTGGTTACCATATTAAACAGCATAAATACAGTGTTCATCATCATAGAATGTTCTGTTGGACAGTGCTGTTCTAGATCACTAATTATTAACTTTCTATTTAAATGCAGTTATTCCCTTTGGAACATCCGAATGAACTGATTAATTTTGGGTCTTGTAAGCATGGTTGTAAATAAGGGCTTAGGTTTTAGAGTTTAACAACTTGGCTCATAGTGTCAAATCCACTACTTATTAGCTTCCAGATTTTGAGTAAATTACTCACTCATAGTTTCCTCATCTAAAAATGGGGATAATACTATTTATCATATCATAGGATTGATTTAAAGAATAAATGAAATAAAGTCTATATGGGCTAGGATTTAGCATTTAAAAAAATTATAATTACTTAAATGACCAATGAAACCCTCAGCAGTATATTTTTTAAATGGACATATTGTCCTAGTCATTATTTTAATATCTTGTTTTTTGATCTTTTAAAATTAAAACCTTAAATTTATTATTGCTTAAATAAAAATTGTTTGTAGCTTAATCAAGTACTTAATTAAAGTTTGGATAGTTAAAAGCAATCGATGGGTATTATTTGAGCAACGGCTCTTCTGAATTCATTGATATGTTGATCATACCTCTCAAGTATGTGTTTTACATGTTTTTGTAAAAATGGACAACTTGAGTATCCATTCTTTGAATAAATGTACCTTATGTCACTTAGATATGTATGTAAGATTGCTGTTAAATAAAGGAACTTGGTTTCAGTAAGAAAATGCCTAATTAGTACTTCAAATATCATTCTGAAGCTAACAAAATAGGAAATCATGATACATGAAAAGTTCTTTATGGGTACACTATAGGCCAGTTTTAAATTGTGGTAAAGGCTCCCTTCAGTTTTATTTTGGTGATAGAATTGTATATGGAGCAGAGTGTCTTGGTTTAAGCTACCTGATTCTTAAAGAGAAAGCAGGGGTTTCAATGTTTCCTAAAAGGTTAAATAAGCAACTTTATCCATAAGTTAAATATGTAACCAACAATCAGTGACCTTTCTAAAAATGTAATTCTAATATTATTTGCTAAGTAGTCATAATTTCTGATTGATTAATTAGATATCGCAATTTATTCTTTCTGTTTGTCCTCAACTCTCTCATAAAATAGATCCCAAATGTACCTCAGGAAGCTCTGGATAAATTATTATCATTTACACACAAACTCAGAGAAACACAGGATCCAACGGTAAGCCTAGGCTTTTTTCCACAAGATTTTCTATTGTTGTTATGCTGCTGGCTTTCTTTTCTTAGAATTCAGTACTTAAAATCTATTTTTTAAGCTGGTATTTTATTTTTCAGAATCCCTTATGCTATGCTTTTGTTCTATGCATATGTTTTACTCTGATTTCAGTGATTTTAGCATTTCTTCCAGCTCCTCCTAGCTGATGTTGTAGAAAGCAACTTGTAGCTCCAGAGAAGCACTTGATGTTCATTGGGGTTCTGCTCTGTCCGCTCTGTCTCCTATGCTGAGCAGTGTTATCTATTCTTATGGCTTCAAGTACTCACTACAAGTTACTGCCTGCATCTTTATCTTCAGATTCTAACCTTTCATTCCTGATTGACTTGTATTTCCATTCCTGGATGGCATGTGAGAAAGATAAATGCTGTCACTGTTTAACTCTGTGTTTCAATGTCCTCATCTGTAAAATGGGAACAGTACAATCTAATTCATAAAATAGTCTCAATGATTAAACATAAAAACGGGTGTAAAGAATCTCCTTCTTAGTAACTGCTTGCTAAATGTTAATTTCTTTCACTTTTCACCTGAATATTCTGAGATTATTGCAAATTCTCATTATCTTGTACAGCTAAACTGTCTTTCCACTTTAACTCTATTTCTATTCTTGATATAATTTCCTGGCTGTGTTAATAATCTATCTGCCAAATTACCTGAATTAGAAACCTTAACATCATTGTTGATTTCTTGCTTTCTTGCTGTCTTAATCTGAAAGCAAATCTCACCAATTTAGCAACTTTATGTCTCATCTGCTCTTATCTATTGTCAGTATCTGTCCTAGTAGTAGATTTCATGATCTTTCTTCTAGAGTATTATATCCTCTTGACTGCCTTCTTTCCCAATAATTCATTCATCATATAACTCTAGTAATTTCCTGTTGCTGTCTAATAAGTTACCATAAATCAGTGGCTTAAGATAATAGAAATTTATTTTCTTTTTGTCTGGACAACAAAAGTCTCAAATCGATATGACTGAGCCAGAATCCAAAGTCTCAAATCAGTATGTCTGAGCTGTACTCCCTCGGAGGCTCCAGGGGAGAATCTATTCCTTGCTTCTTCTGGGTTTGGGTGGCTGCCAGCATTCCTTGACTAGTGGACTCACTGTATCAATCATGCCTTCGTCTTTACATCACCTTCTCCCCTGTGTTTGTGTCAAATCTCCCTCTTTCCTTCTCATTCAAGATTCTCATTCAATCTCATATAAGACTGCATTGAGGGTCCACACATAGCGCAACATAATCTCCACATCTCAAAATCCTTACCTTAATTTTATCTGCAAAGTCAATTTTGCCATAGAAAGTAACTGACAGTTTCCAGAGATTAGGATGTGAATTTTTGGGGGGGATGGGGGTGGTAACTTTCTAGCTGTCACAGGTACCCTGTTAATTACCTCTCTGGGACCTCATCTCCAAATACTTTCTCCTTTACCCATTGTTTTTAGCTACACTGGTGTCTTTGTGGTTCCTTGAACATACTAGTGCCTGCCCCAAGGCCTTTGCCAGTTGGTGTTTCCTCTGCCTAGATTATTCTTCCCTGGATAACTGCATGTTTGCTCACTTTCCTTTGTGGGATTTGCTCAGGTGGTCACCTTTTCTGTGAGGTCTTCCTAAAGCACTCTAGAATCAAAATTCTATCCCATTTTATTTCCCTCCCTCTTTCTGCTTTAAGGTTCTTTATAGGGCTTCTCACTCTTTGACATAGTGTATGTTTTACTCACTTATTTTTTTGTCGTCTGTCTTCCTTCACTCGGATTTCAGTTCTAGGATTGCAGGGATTTTTGCTTTGTTCCCTGTAGTCTTCTCAGCAACTGGAACTTCACACAATAGGTATTCCTGCTTTGACAGTATTCTTACTGTAGTATTCTGCTGGGAATACTATAGGGTACAAAGTTAGAGATTAGCAATGTATTCTACAAGTATCTGTTAAATAAATGGATGGATGAATCTTCCATATTGTCCCTGGAATGATCTTTCCCAAATCCATTTCCTAAGTTCTTCCCCTTGGTTAAAACCATTAAGAGATGGACTTTTTTTGTCTGTAGGCTGAAGACACTCTGCTAAACATGCCTGCTGAGCTCCCTCTGACCCTAAGCTGCTAATCCAGCCTCAGTTTCTGCAAACTCTCTTGAATCATCCTCAGCTCTTCCCACGGTTAGCTGTTTGCTGTTTTCTAATCCCGCCTGTACTCAAATGTCTCTGCTTTAGCTAATGCCTGGAATGTGCTTTTTCTCTCCATCCACTTGTCCCTTAGTTTCCCTCTTCTCTCAAGTCTCTCTTAGACCCCTTAGGCAGCAGTAACTAATTTGCTTTCATGACATTTGACATATATTTCTGATGTTGACCTATTGCAGTTGTATTATAGTTTACTTTTATTTCCCCAGTTGCTGTTTGAACTCCTTGAGACTGAGTCTTATTTGTTCCTTTATTCCCATTTTCTAGCTTGGTGCCTGGCACATAGTAGACACTTAAATCTTTGGTGAATTAATGAATAAATTGGTTAATTAAAATTTTATTAACAGATTGTCCCTAGAGTTTTTTTCTCCTTTAGAACATGCTACATTTTTATTCTTTTATAAAAATGAAGAATAGAAAAATAATGTTTAATAATTTCTGATGAGAATTAAGCTGAAGTATTACTAACCATGCTAATATGAAAAAACCCTTTAAGGTATACTCTTAAACTGTATAACCATGATAACTAAGGGAATGCACTTCATATTTTCACCCCCCCTTTTTTTTGCAAGATAAAACTACAGTTAGAAATTTTATATTATAAATGTTAAATATATCAGGAATTTTTAAATTAAAGTACACTCTCTATTTTTAACTGGTAATAATGTGAGAGCAGAGATTACCAAACCCTTTATTCAGCACTTAAATGGCTCAACACAAAGCTTACCTCTGATTTTCTCAATGCTGGTTATTATTGCAAAGCATTTTGATGCTTAAAACTAGAAAAAGTAGAGAATTGGTGTTCAAATGTATGAGCAGTCCTTATTGATCACTGGAATGAAATGTGAAGCCTGAATTCATTATCATGCTTAGAATGAGATTAGAATGTTGTACCATAAAAAAAATTACCCTGTGGTTTAATTAGACTCATAAGAATCCTCTGGTTAGAGTCATTTGTCAAATATTTTTTATGATTAAAAATAGGAATTTGTCATGGTCCTAGATATTAAAAATGGGAATTTCTAAGTTATATTTGACTTTTGATATCAATAATACTGGCTGAATTTTTTCCTCAATACATCTTTCTTTCTCATAGCAAGTCAGTTGCCAAGTTTATTGTATCCCATCTCTCCATTCTTGTTGCTATTACTTTACTGCAGGTCTTTTTCCTTTATAGGCAGATTATTGAAGTAGCTTTCTGTTTCCTGTCTCAGTTCTCTCTGTCCTTCAACTACTTTATATACTGCTGCTAATTTAAATTAGGAAATAGGCTAGTAATAATCTGATTCTAAAAGCATGTTATGACTTTAAAAGCAGAATCCTATTTCCTTTAAGAGTAAAGCCAAACCCCTCAGAGTGTCATTCATAGGTCTTTGTCGTTTGAGAGAAAGCCTTCCAGCAGGACCTTCTAGTAAAGCTGGCCTGGTTTCCTCATGTTCTACTTGTGGTTCCATTCCTTTTGCTTTCATTCCTTTGATCAGAGCATTTCTGTTGTCCATTTGAATATTTTCAATGCCTGTAGCAGCGGTCTACTGTTCCATTCCTTTTAGCATTATATTCTATTTTGAATTGTAATTTATGATTTTATTATATTTGAATATTGTCTTCATGTCTGGAATGCAAATTAATTGAAAACAATAATGGGCCAAATATTTGCTTATATATGAGTTCTTTGAAACTTAGAATATGTTTTTTAATAGAAGAAAAGATATGAGGTGGTCATGCTTTCAACCTAATTCCCAAAGGAAATATAATGCTAATGTAGCTGAAATATAACACTAAAAGCAGACCAATATCTCATGGAGATGTGAAATACACAAGGAAGGATAAATAAATTAATTTTTTTCTTCTTTGGGACATACAGTGATGGCCTTAGGTGGAACATTAAAACAAGCAAATGTGCAGTGTGTCTTTGACATTCTCCCCTCATCCATTCTGAACCCTTTGTTAATTTCATAAAGTCCCCTTCTCCAGGCCTTTGAGTGCTCAGGGCCACTTTACTGCCCTCCTCACCCTCTGTGACATTTCTTTTTTTTTTTTTTTGCCCAATATGTTTAAAACACTTGGATGAATATTTATTAGTCTCTAATAACAAAAAAGATTTCCCATTTCAATAATGTTAAACTTCAATAAAATATTAAAATATTGGCCAAAATAGAAACCTAAATTAAATGAGAATAGCCTGTTTCTCTCTTAGCTGTGATGGAGTTGACTATAATCTTAGCACCCAAAGTTTGCATCTATAGAGACATAAAGTGATTTGCTGAGATAGTACAATATTGCTGACAAACATCTTATAAGGGGTAAATAAGAAAATGAGGTCACAAAGTATTGTTAATAAAATTATTGTCTTGTATCTATTATATGGTATTTTAAAATAGCATAATTCATTACAATATTTTCTCCATTTACTTAAACAACAGTAACTTTTGCTTTAAGTCTGTATATATAAACTTATATATAAAATTTTAAAAAATTTATAACCTTAGATATATTTTTACAATAACCCATTACAATTTCCTTAGTGCTAGAATATAATTCTCTACTTTCTAAAATTATCATTCACTTTCAAAAAATATTTTTACCAGTGTATCTCTTTTTTTTTTTTTTTTCCCCATTTATTTATTTTATTGCATTTTAGGTTTTGGGGTACATGTGAAGAACATGCAAAATTGTTGCATAGGAACACACGTGGCAGTGTGATTTGCTGCCTTCCTCCCCATCACCTACATCTGGCATCTCTCCCCTTGCTATCTCTCCCCAGCTTCCCACCCCCCAC